CAGGGTAAACTACTCCCCCAAAGTCATGCCGCTAGAAGAGATTTGAACCCCAGCCTCCAAAGCCAGTGCTCTTTCTACCATCCCCTGCTGCCCCCCTTGGCAAGGCAGTGAGAGAGGGCATCACAGACCTTTCCGATGATGAGCGCACCCCTCTTTTCCATGTGTGACACACAGCACATGTACACTGCATCCTCTCTGCTGCCTATAAGGGTTCAACTTTTTTAAAATTTTATTTTTGAGTTGGAGTCTCACTGTGTTGCCCAGGCTAGAGTGCAGTGGCATGTTCACGGCCACCACAGCCTTGACCTGCTGGGCTCGGGTGATCCTGCTGCCTCAGCCTTCCGAATATTGAAACCACAAGTGTGCGCCACCATGACCAACTAATTTTTTTGATTTATTATAGAGACAAGGTCTCGCCAAGTTGCCCAGGCTGGTGTCAAATCCCTGGGCTCAGGCAATCTTCTCACCTCCACCTCCCAAAATGCTGGGATTACAGGTGTGAGCCACTGTGCTTGGCAGAGTTCAACTTTTTAAATTACAGAAATCTTAAATAATTGAGTTTAGAGGGATGCTAAAAAATACTTACATTTCCCTTTCCTCCTGCTGCAAAAATGGGACCCTGGCAGGAGGCTGGCCATGCCAAGGCAGGAGGCTGCCATGCAGGGCTCTCTGGTTTCGGCACTGACGTCAATGCGTCAGAGCCCGGGAAGCCCTCCCTCACCCCTACCTGTACCCAGGGGAGTCTCAGGCTAAGCCCCTGGGGCCAGTGCTCTCCCACCTCAGTCCAACCCTGTGTAGCTACTCCCACCCTGCCACAGACCACCCCCTCATCCACATGGTCAGCCAGCAGATGACCATGCAGGTTCCTCTGCCAGGCCTCCACCCGAGGCAGCCTTGCTCTCAGTCCCAGACCCGGCCTGGTGTGGCCCACAATGGCTCTGAGCATGAGGACAGGATGCGGGGACAGCAGGTGCTCCGCCTCTGGGCATGTGGCCACCCAGTCCGGTTTCACCCAGTGCAACTCGTTTTTCAAATGTCCTAGTTTCAGTCTCCCTTCCTGCAAGCCAGGCCAAATTGTCCACCCCCAGCTTTCTGTCCCCAGCTCATGGGGCTTGGCTGGACCTGCCGGGGGCTGATGTGAGCCAGAATAGCGAGACGGAGGGGGTGTGAGACGCCTTTTGGGATCCGTGCCCGGTCTCATGCACGAACACCCCCTGCCCGCCAGTCCTCCTGCTGTGGGCCCGGGGAGCAGAGAGTGCTGGAATGCTCCGCTTCGGGCCTCCCCGGAGAACAGGCTGCCCTTGGCTACCCACAGCCTGGTCTCTGCCCAGCACTAAGCCAGGGGGTGAGAATCAGCCGCCACGAGCAGGGAGGACCCCCTGAACCAAATGCAGAGCTCACCCCTTGCCCTCCTGACCAGGCAGGGTGGGTATGTGTCGCTTTCTCAGTCACTAGCAGCACCCACTCTACGCAGGCTTCTTTGTGGGGGAAGGGAGTCAGAGTGCAAGACATGGTGAGTGAAGAAGTCCCCATCAAGTTGGAAGACATGTAGCCTGTAAGGCAGAATTCATTGCCAAGGGAACGTGCCCCTTGGCAAGTAGAATCCGTCTGACATGCACCAGGCACTGAACCCTGGGCTGGCGATTCAAAGAGAGACAGAGTCCGTTCCTGCCCTTACTTAACACAGATAGACGATCACAATGTGGCAAGATCTGTGTCCAAGGCAGCTATCATGGGGCTTTAGGAGGTACAGGGTTGAGGATTCCAGATCAGCAAGGAACCCCACCCTGACCCACCCAGAGGACGTCGCTTCAGCCTGTGCCTGTTTTTTGTGTTTTTTTTTTGAGTTGGAGTCTCACTCTGTCGCCCAGACTGGAGTGCAGTGGCCGCTCCCGGCCACCGCAGCCTTGACCTCCTGGACTCCGGCGATCCTTCCGCCTCAGCCTTCTGAGTAGCCGGAATTACAGGCGCATGCTACCATGCCCGGCTGATTTTTTGATTTATTGTAGAGATGAGGCATCGCCTGCCCAGGCAGGTCTCGAACCTGCGGGCGCAGGCAATCCACTCACCTCAGCCTCCCAAAGGCGAGGGATTACAGGCTGAGCCACCGAGCCCGGCTCCCTGTGCCTGATTTAAACCCTGGCTCGAATCAGCCCCGAACCCAAATAGGCTGCTCAGCTGAAGCTAAACAGCTCACCCTTCTTTCTCCCCGATTCTGATGACGAGTCTGCATGTTGAAGTTTCCTTCTGGGCTTTTCTATTTATGTTGTCATTGATTACTTTGCTCCTAACTCATCTGATTTCAATTTGGACTGATTTGATCCTAATTTTATTACCATGTAATCTGAATGCACATAATTACTGTAATTATACTGCTGAGGGAAACAGCGCCTGCATGGTGGGAAGACCTAAATTTAGGGCTTCCTGGCAAGGGCAGCCGTTGGCTGGGTGGACCCACAGCTACCTCAGAGCTGGCAGCCTCGAGGGGTACAGATGCCCTCCCCCGCTCCACCCCCAGAGAGACGGGTATTTTGGGCTTCACCCCAGTGATGAGTTTGAGGCCCCTCTCAGAAGCCCCGGGAGCGGGCAGGGGTCTGAGCTAGGGCAGGGAAGCCCACCCCTTCTGCACGCTTCACTCATACCACCACCCTTTGTGTCATGAGCTCAGCCCCCACACACCACCCGCGTCCAAGTGCTCATTCATAAGGGCACAAGATGCCATCAGCCTTTCCCAAAAGATCTGGGGAACCAGAGGGTTCCTCAATATTCATGGGGCAGGGGAAGCAAGCCTGCCGCGGGCCCACCTGGATCCTCCCCTGCCCTCTGAGCCCAGTCCAAGACCTCCTCCTCCACAATGCCTCCCTGACCTCTCCAGCCCTCTCCACACATTATCATTTATGTCATGCCTGAGGAAAATGTCATTATTATACAGAGGAGGAAACTGAGGCACAGTGAGGTTACGAGCCTTACTTGAGGTCACCCAGTGGGTGGGCAGTGAACTCTGAACCACCTCATCACGCTGGCCCTTCCAAAAGCCCATAGAGCATTGCAGGCTCAAGTCTCATGTGATTCTCCCCAAGCTGACCCACACCATCAAGGCCAATGACCAGAAGCCATGCTCTCCCCTCCTCCCAGCCATTCCTGGGGGGATGGGGCACTTCAGACAGGGGATCTGAGGACCAGGCAGAAGAAGGAAAGCACTCTTTTCACCCACCCTCCTTGTGCCGAGAAGGATGGACTCCCTGCAACAGAGGGGCCGAGCCCTGCTAGGACAGCAAGGCAGGGAACCAGCAGAGAGAGGGGGAGAGTTTCAGTGTTTGGGGAGGAGGGTTAGAACACGGAACTTGTGGGGAGCTTATGACCTCTCTTCCCAGGGCCCATGATCTGTCTGTTGGACACCCAGGGAGGGGAGAGTGGCAGGAAGAGCTGAAAAGGCTGCTAATTATGAAGTGCCTGCTGTATGCACCCAGAGCCTGGCCTCTGCTGCCTTAGAACAAGCTGGCACATGATAGTAAGGGGTGGGCTGGAGGAGTCAGGCCCACAGGAAGACGGGGAGGGCCATCTCTGGGCAAAGCTCTCTCTTCAGGGGACCCTGGGCCCACAGGGTGGATGAAGGAACAAGGGAGATGTGGGCATGGCTGATGGCCAACCTGTGAGAAAGGGGATGTGTGTGCTCTGTGTCACTCGAGAGGGTAGAAATAGGAGGCTGAATCAGGAGGCTGACTGGGACTCAAGACAGTCAAGACTGCCCAGGAGTGAGCCCCCAGTTAGAGAAGGTACCCATCCATGCACAGGCACCACCCCTGGGATCCAAGAGTCCCCACAGGCCTGGAACAGTAGCCAAGCAGACCTGGGGTGAGGGGAGGACCAAGACAAGGCCTGGGGTATGGAGCTCCAAGCTGCCTGTCTCTTGGGGGTCTTCAGGAGCCCGTGGTAAAGCCAGGGGAGAGGACACACTTTGAGCTGCAGCCTCCTAACAGCCCAGCTGCCTCTGCAGAGAGTAGCAGGCAGGCAGTAGGGCCCAGGGCTATGTGTCTTACTTGAGGCCACCCAGTGGGTGGGCAATGAACTCTTAACCACCTCATCACACTGGCCCTTCCAAAGGCCTATAGACCATTACGGGCTCAAGTCTCATGTGATTCTCCCCAAGCTGGCCCACACCATTAAGGCCAACGGCCAGAAGCCATGCTCCTCCCAACCATCCATGGGGGGAATGGGACGCTTCAGACAGGGGATCTGAGGACCAGACAGAAGAAGGAAGGTGCCAAGAGGAGGGAGACGAGTTGACAGAAGAGGCCACCTCCCATTCTCCCAAGAGCTAGCTCTGTCCCCCAGAATCATGCCCCACAGGCCCTTACAGATTGAAAGTCAGGGGCCAGGCGTGGTGGTTCATGCCTATAATCTCAGCACTTTGGAAGGTGAAGGCAAGAGGATTGTTTGAGTCTAGGAGTTCAAGACCACCCTGGGCAACATAGCGAGGAGACCTCCTCTCGACAAAAATTTTAAAAAACAAGCTGGGCATGGTGGCACCTGTAGTCCTAGCAACTTGGGAGGCTGAGGTGGAAGGATCACCCTAGCCCAGGAGATCGAAGCTACGATGAGCCATGATCATGCCACTGTACTCCAGCCTGAGAGACAGAATGAGATCCTGACTCAAACACAAAAACAAACACAAAAACAAAATGGATTGGAAGTTAGGTCCCCGGAAGCCTCTGAAATGATGAGGCTGGTTCAGATAACACCAAGGTCTTGCCCATAGCCCACTGCTGGGTAAGTAAGGGGCACCTCTCCTTCCCTACATCTGACTCTCTAGAGACCACAGTTCAAGGCTGGACCAAGCACCAGACACCATTCTGAGTCAGGGGACCTGCTGGCTTCTCAGAGCCTTCTCCCTGCCCCACCCATGGCACATACCCTCACATACACCCCAAGACGTGCACACCCCAGCTCACACCCGCCTGCTGCTGTCCTCCCACCAGAGGCCCCTGATGCTCACTCACCCAGTGCAGGGACCCGATGCAGACCTTGGCAGCCATCAGGGGGACAGTGGGGTCAGAGGGCCGCAGCTTCACACACTCGCGCAGCAGTGACACGGCGTAGGCCGACTGCAGAGAGAGCGCAGGAGGCACCATCACTCGCAGCCCCGGGTCTTGACAGACTGGGGCCTCACGCCTACGGTGAGGCAGTTCCCCAAACAATCAGTCCTTGCTCTGCACCCCTTTCCTCCCAAAAGCCAGGAGGAGGGCCTGGCAGGGGGAGCTGGGTGGTGTTGGCAGGCCAGTCCCTCTTTGTGCCTCAGTTTCCTCATCCGGAGGATGCAGTAACTGTGATCCTTAACCTTAGGGGATGTGACAACAGCTAACACGGCAACAGATGGAAGCTCTCCAAAAGGAATTCAAATTTGAACCCCAGAGAGTTTAGAGGTAGAAAGGAACTCTCTAAACAGGACTCAGAGGTGGGGCTGGTAGCAAGGGTTGCAGAGGCCATATAAAGGCCAAAAGGGAGGAAGGGGAGACGTTTCAAGCTGGCAGAGCCAGAGAGAACCTCCAGCCAGGAATCTGGGGATCCCCAAGGGTCCGAGGGACTCAGACTGGCCCAGCCAAGGACAGCCAGGTGTGGAGGGCCAGGAGGGGAGAGCAACCCAGCCAGGCAGGTATATTCCAATAACAGTGATGATAAGAATGTCAGCTAATACTTATCCAGATCTTATGATGTGCCAGACCTTGTTCTAAGTTAGTGGTGGGCAAAACACAGCCCACAGGCCAAATCTGGCCCTCGGCCTATTTTTGTAAATAAAGTTTTACTGGAACACAGTCATGCTCATTCATGTATATATTGTCTATGGCTGTTTTCACGAGACAATGGCAGAGTGGGATTGTTGTGACAACCGTTTGCCAAGTCAAAAACATCTACTACCTGACCCTTTACAGAAAAAGTTTGCTAAGTCCTATTCTAAGTGCTTTATATATATATTTTTTTGAGTTGGAGTCTCACTCCTTCATCCAGGCTGGAGTGCAGAGGCATGCACGCTCATGGCCACCCCACGGCCACCCCAGCGTCGACCTGCTGGGCTCCGGTGATCCTTCTGCTTCAGTCTTCCAAGTAGCCAGAACTACAGACATGGACTACCACGCCCAGCTATTTTTATTTATTGTATGGATGAGGTCTCATCAAGTTGCCTGGGCTGGTCTTGAGCCCGTGGGCTCAGGAATCCACTCGCCTCGGCCTCCCAAAGTGCTAGGATTACAGGCTGAGCCACCGAGCCCGGCCTAATTTTTTTTTTTTTTTTTTAGTCTCACTCTATTGCCCAGGTTGGATTGCAGTGGCATGATCACAGCCACCACAGCCTCGACCTGCAGGGCTCAGGCGATCCTTCTACTTCAGCCTTCCAAGTAGCTGAAACTACAGGCATGCACCAACACATCTGGCTGATTTTTTAATTTATTGTAGCGACCAGGTCTCGCCATGTTGCCCAGGTTGGTCTTGAACCCCTGGCCTCAGGCAATCCTCTCACCTCCACCTCCCAAAGTACTGGAATTACTGGCATAAGCGACCTCACCCAGCAAAGTGCTTAATAAATATTTAGTCCTTTGCTTTTCACAGTACTCCTATGAAATAGGCACAGTGACTTTGCTTTACAGATGAGGCAATTGAAATGCAGAAGTTAGGTGGCGTGTTCAAAGCCACATAGCCCTAAGTGGCTGAGCTGGAGTTTGAACAGTCTAGCTCTAACCACTACTCTATAATACTGCCTCTATGATGACCACACCTTGGCCAAAGAGGAGACCTGTTTCCCTGCTACACACACACACACACACACACAGAGTTGGAACCCTCTGAGTCCAATGCTTTTCCAGGAAACTCAGCAACGCTCCCAGTATGCCTACTCTGCCCCTGTACTAGGCCCTCCTGTGAGCCAAGGTACCTGCCATGAACTAGCTCTCATCTTCCCCAGCATTTCTGGAGGTACCACTGAGGAAATTAGGCTCTGGAAGGCTTGTCTGTCCTCAGCAGGGTATAAGCCACTGGCAGATGGCAACTATGACCCATGGGTCTAGTGTCCACCCTGGAACTCCAGCCTCTCTCCAGCTGGCCCCCTCCTTCCCCCATCCAAGGAGGAGCTTTTCTCAACCCAGACAGGATAGATTTCCCTGGCTCTGGCTCAGGGTTATTAGGCCCACTGCAGGGGTCTTCATGGAGGGTCTGCTCTGGGCCCAGTACTGGACTACGGGTTGTGGAATCACCGTGGTAAGGGAGATGAGGCCATGGCTCTAGCCTCCAAGCAGTCCACGTAATGGCTGGGAAAGAACACAAAGGTCACCATCTCCATGACTCTTTCAGGGAACAAGAGGCCAAGAGGCCGAGCACAAGAGGGTGTTAGCAAAGGGACAGCTCCTGCAGGCCGGGAGCCGCCCGGGGTCCCCAGTGTGGGCTGAAGCAGGAGGCCGTGTGGGAGGCCTGAAGGTGCTGTCAGATCACCCACCTGCTCCTGAGACCCTCTCCTGTCCCAAGTCCTGCCCCAAGGGCGCCTCCACCCCCACCCCGACAGGCCTCAGGCCCCTCCTCAGCCTCCTTCTCTGCTGCTGACCCCCAGATCCTCGCCATACAGGATTCTCGAACCCTGACCCTCCACATTCCACCCCCACCCCTTTCCACACCACCCCCACACAGACCAAAAAACGCCTGCTATTTAAGGAGCCATCTGAGGACTCAGTCAGCAGTCGGAGCAGCCGGCTCTTTTTTTTTGTCATGCCGGTTACCTAGCAACACAGTCAATGCAACTGCCACACAGAGACCAGGAGAAGGAGCGACCTAAATCATGCCATGGAGCTCATCCATTATTCCTGCAGATTGAAGCGCTAGATATACTTACACTGCCCGGTCACACCTTCTGGAAAGCCTTTTGGGTGCAATCACAGACACAGAACCTGGATTCCCACCTTAGGCTTTTGGCAAAAGCGAGGTCTGGCCACTTCTGAGGGCTGCCTGGGACAACCAGGCAGACCCACTTGGAGTGCGAGGTTCCCAGAGCGGATGAAGAATGCCTTCCAAAACAATCTCCAGCTGTACCAGACACACAGGTGGATATGGCCCAGTGTCTCCAGCCCACGGAGCCTCACGCACGAGGAACTTGCCAAGTCACCCCAACTCCCTGCCTGTAAGACCATCCTGGGCCTACCTTGCCTGTGTGTTGGGAAGCCAGCTCCCTGGATGCTGGGACGGTGACAGGCTGTGTCTGGACCTCTCAGAACTTGGCTGCTCAGAAAACCCCTTGCCCTGCAGACTACCATGATACCTTCTCCAGAGCCCGGAAAGCTCCCCTGGGAATTAAAACTAACTTCCATGTGCAGTGTATTTTTCTGAGCAGGGGTCCCCAGCCTCCTCTGCTCCTGAGAGGTTCATGATTCACAGAGGTGTGCCAATCACTACCCGAGAACTCTCCCAGCCCGAGCTCACTATCACAAGACCAGAGGTGCTTTCTCTGTTTCCTGCAGGCCACATCCCTACGGCCCCAGCTGATGGGCACCTTCCACAGCTTCTGTCCCCGTCCCTGCCAAAGGTTCATCTTTCTAGTCCCTCCACGTCTGCACTGTTGTCCTCTGCCTGCATGCAGCTCCTTGGGAGGTCTCTCCCATTTCCTGACCCCTGGAGGGCTGGGGCCTCACCTATCAGTGTTCTGAATTCTCTTCTAGCCTTGACGAGACCCTGCTGAGCACAGAGCCGAGCAGGTCATGTGTGACTTCAAGATGTGCTGGGAGGTGGCCGATGTGGTGGGGGATGGGGTAGAGGTTTGAGAAAACAAACGTCCAGCAGAGGGGGGCAGGGAAGCCTCCCCACTCAGCCTCTACTCCCCCCCCCCTGCCCTGCCAGGACCTGGCCTACCTTGATACAGGCCCTGAGCTGGCTGGCACACCCTCCATGCATGGAGGAGGTGCTGGCAAGCCGGGAGGGCCCTCCCCAGAGACGGCAGGGAGGCCAGAAATGGAACGTGGCACAGATGGGCAGGGGGGTGAGGAATTCCCTCAGCCCCATGAAAGGGCTCTGGGTATTTACAGCTCTTGGAACAAGCTGCAAGCTCATGCCACCTTATTTCCTGCATTCGTAGCACCCTCAGCCCCAACACCCTCAGCACCCAGCTCCGGAAAGGTTTTCCTTTCATGTCTTTGCTTAAAATAGAGGCTTACATAAGTGTAACTCTGATCTGAGGAAAAAAGCAAGGGTGCTGGCCCGGGGGCTGGGTGGATGGAGACAGAATGCCTGCCCAGTGCCCCTTGCTCTGGGCAGCACCCCACCAGGCCCGGTCCTTCCCCGGGTGCCCCCAGCCATGTCCATCACGCAGGCCTCCCTCCAAACTCCTTTTGTGGGTACTGCTGCTCCACTCCACCCTCTTTGCCTCCCTCCTAGGCAAGTTCCCAATCCACAGGCAGGTCCTTTCCTGACGCCACACTCACTGGAGGAGAGCTACAGCCCGCGTGCAACAACGTTCCTCTCACCCAGACCCCACCCACACCCGTCTCATGCACTGCGTCTATCTGCTCACCAGTAGAGAGGCTACGCTGCCCCATGCGTGCACACGCTCAGAGAAAAGCATCTATGCTCACCCCTGCACACGGGCTCACTCATGGCTCGCATGTGGAGAGGGATTCACGCAAGGTGTCTGTGTGGCCCTCCCCACACCCCCGCGCTCTCTTGGAGACTCAAATGAGGTAACTACCCCAGCCTCCTACCCTGGCAGCCAGTTCCATAAAAGTGCAACCTCCAGCACCTCTGGGCCTTACCTTCCCACAAGCCACCATAGAGAGGGCCACCTGGTACCAAAGGTGAAATTCTCCAAATGCAAACTTCATGGCTCGCTCCAGGCACTGGGGAGGAAAAACAGTCAGCACTTGCCCACATGGGGTCCTCCCACCCCAGCCACCCACACCCTTCCAGGTAGTCCCTGCCCAAGTCACTGCCTTTGAGGGGTTGCAGGAGGCCCACACTTGGCTTTTGATGGACATCTAGGGGTGACTCAGCCCCTACCCTGCTCTAGGCTTTCACCCTCTCTGGCTCTGTTCCCACCTTCATAACATGTGAATGACCTCAAGGGCTGTGGCAAAGAAGGCGTGGAATGAGATCTGTGGAAGTGCTTTAAAAATGTAGCCATGCCCAGGCGCGGTGGCTCACACCTTTAATTCCAGCACTTTGGGAGGACAAGATGAGAGGATTGCCTGAGCCTGTGGGCTCGAGATCAGTCTGGGCAACTTGGAGAGACCTCATCTCTACAATAAATCAAAAAAATTAGCTGGGCGTGGTGGTGCAGCCTGTAGTTCCAGCTATTTGGAAGGCTGAGGTGGAAGGATCGCCTGAGCCCAGGAGGTCGATCGAGGCTGTGGTGGCCATGAGCACACCACTGCACTCCAGCCTGAGCAACAGAGTGAGACTCCAACTAAAAATAAATAAATAAATGTAGCCATGCAATAAAAATAGCAGCTAGCATTTATTTTTATTGTGCACAGCACTGTTTTCAGCTTTTACATGTACCCCTCCTAACAACCGTGTGACCCTCCCCATTTCATAGATGAGGAAGTCGAGATCTGTACAACTTGCCAAGGTCACAGGGCCAGTAAGTGGCAGAGCAGCCTGGCAGGGAAGGGACAGTGGAGAAGGGACACATGCTGGCTCCATCTGATTTCCCTTACGTACCACCTGACTCCCGGGGAAGGGGGTGAGCTGCGTGGCCAGCCTACCTCCGAGAGCATGACATACTGCCCCCTCCTGCCCAGCGTGATGCTCAGGAGGTCGTAGATGGCCGCAGCGTTCTGCAAGCTCACCGTCCGGTCCTCCTCCTGCTCCGGTACCCGGCTCAGCACCACGTCCCGAGTTGCCTGTGGGTGGGACAGTATTTGGGAGAGTGAGGACAGGAGCTAAGCAGGTGACTGTCCCCAGAAGGCCCCCACCTCGCTGGCCCCGTCCCTGTCACCTTTTCACCACTGCCCCAGGCTGGGCAGGTGGTCACACTCAGAAACAGCCTTTTCCCTCCCCAAGGAGGCCCTTTCCCAGAGAGAAAACCCTCCACCTTCAGCCCAGCCTGGGGCGAAAGAGCAGTTCTGAGGGCTCAGGCTCCCCGTATTCAGTGTGTCATTCTGCAAAACCTCAAACATACGGAAAAGTTGCAAGAATAGTATCATAACCATAAACCTCCATCTAGACACATGGATCGGTAACATGCACCACACCGCTTTGTTCCTCTATTAGCTAATGATCACTGTCCTTTCACGTTGTTTACTTGTTTTCCTTACAGACCCATGCCTTCGATCGGCTGCCGTGTCTCTTTGGTCTCTTTTCATCTGGAAGAGGTGCCCCCCGCCCCGCCCTGTCTTTCCCTCTCATGACACTGGTATTTTGGAGGAGAACAGGCCAGTGTTGTGTGGAACAGTTTCTGCTGTCTTTGCAATTCTCCACCATGACAGCAAGCGCTTCAGGTAAGAAGTGAAACCGTCTGGCCAGGCAGGGCAGCTCTGCCTCTTGCCTCTTGAGGGGCCCTTGGGCTGCGGCTTCCAGGCCCTCTTCTCTTTCTCTTCAGCCTTCCAAGT